CCTGCCTAGGCAGGAAACCCTACACCACTTCAAGACAAATGGTTATCTAATCTCTTCTTAAAAACTTCCAGTGTTGGAGCATTCAGAGCTTCTGGAGGAAAGTTGTTCCACTGATTAATTGTTCTCACTGTCAGGAAATTTCTTCTTGGTTCTAGATTGCTTCTCTCCTTGATTAGTTTCCACCCATTGTTTCTTGTCCTACCCTCAGGCGCTTAACTCCCTCAGGCAGCCCCTGAGATATTGGGAGACTGCTATCACGTCTCCCCTAGTCCCTCTTTTCATTAACAACCTTCACAACCATGTTCCTAACTTAACAATTGCAGTGATTGACTTAATAACCGAGGTAAGAAAGTTTGCAAAATGGGAAAAAATTCACTTAACTGTCTTGGGTTCAATTGTGGTCATGAGGACCACCTGTATTGACATAAAGTCGGATTTAATACTTCTCCGTGTGATCAAAGCTCCATTTAATAACTAAACTATTTCCTTATGCATGTGTGGGTTTATATAATTTTATGTTTGGGCTATGTTTTTATTTTCTTCTATTATAAAAAATAAAAATAGAATGTACTAGCTTATGACATGGATCACTTGGTTCTGGCTTATCACGATATGTAAACCTAGCCATTACAATCTGCACAATCTTAGTGTGATCTGTGAACCAACCGATACATTACTTACATCAGCTAACCACGATTAGCCAACTTGTGGCCCAGAATGGCATGCCAGTCTAATGATTGGATATGAAGTGTCAGCTGTGCTACTGATAATTTGAAAAATTCATTGTGGCAGCATTTTGGAAGGCAGCTGATAGAATTAAATAAAGATAAATGAATTGAAAATATTTCTGTTCCAGGTATCTACATGTATGAAAGTTGATGCTTTCTCCTTTTTAACAGGCTTAGTAAGCAATGACTCAACAAAGGATTTAAGAAGAAAGGAGATATGACCTCTACATATAATGAACTTGACAAGTAAATTATTAACTAAAATAAAGCCAGTCTCATTTACAGACACTCCCAGTGCAAAATGGAAATCAGTTGGCTTAAAAACTATCCATTTTCTTATTTGAGTAACAGAAGAATAAATTATTCTTAAAAGTTTCTGGACAAAAAGGTGAAGCCACAGTTGGTTTACCTTGATGGGCATTGATCTGCAAAAGATACCTTATACAAACAAAAGTCTCCCTTATTGACATTTTTTTGATATGTTCATTCCTGTCAATTTGTAAAGATTTAAATATGCAAATTACAGTGCAAAACTATGTTTAAAAAACACAAATGCATGTTAAGACTAAAACTGATATATATATTTGTGCTGATAAATAAATAAAGGGAGACTAGTATAGATCTATTTCAAGCTGTTTAGCTCTCATCAGCTAGCCATATCCTTACTGGGATTTGAACCTGGGCTGTATTGCATCTTAGGCACAGGTTCAAATCCCAGTAAGGGTATGGCTAGCTGATGAGAGCTAAACAGCTTGAAATAGATCTATACTAGTCTCCCTTTATTTATTTATCAGCACAAATGCAACACAAATGTAAGAAAGGAAACAGTAAAAATATTGGGCTTTCTGTCTGGATGGTCTCTTGTAACGAGTCGATAGACAGAGAAAGGAAGCAGTTAGCTTCCTCCCATAATTGGGGCATACCAGGGGTTGTGACACTAAATATATATATTTCTGATCCTGCCTAAAAAGTTGTGTTGCATTTGTGCTGATAAATAAATAAAGGGAGACTAGTATAGATCTATATCAAGCTATTTAGCTCTCATCAGCTAGCCATATCCTTACTGGGATTCGAACCCAGCTAGCTGATGAGAACTAAATAGCTTGAAATAGATCTATACTAGTTTCCCTTTATTTATTTATCAGCACAAATACAACACAAATATAACAAAGGCAACAGTAAAAATATTGGGCTTTCTGTCTGGATGGTCTCTTGTGACCATCCAGACAGAAA